GTCTTCTGTCCACAGACTCTTGTCTTGCTTCCGGCCCTTGGACAACTTCAGGGACATGTTGATCAACTGAAAAATGTCGGTGACGTGCTCGATCTTGCAGTCACGAAATGTGGGGATTTCTATTTGCGCGTGAACACCCCATTTGTTTCAATTGGCACAGAATATCGAGGTCTTAAAGTCCTTGGAGATAAAGGTGAGTGGCCGTGAGTCATCACTCCCGAGTCCCAACCAGTGTAGAATGGGAAAGAAGGGAAGGGCCCTTGGGAGGAAGCAAAGAGATCTTTTGAATTGCCCATGTCTGGCTGTGGGAGACCTGGCCACCAAGTGGGACTGCAGAGGTCCAGATGAGTAAACGTCTGGAGCTGCCAGGACCCAGACCGAGGGGATAACCGTTTTTGTTTCTCTTGTTCTTTTTTCTTTTTTCTTTTTTCTGTTTTCTGTTCCCCTCTCCCTCCTCCCGCCTGAGATGTATGAATGGGGTGCAATGCCTTCTGGGAAGCAGGTCGACCATCCCATGGGATGAAAATAAGAAATGAAATTGAGAAATAATAAAAATATATTTTCTAATTTTTGTTCTGGCCGGGCAAGTGGTCCTGGGGCACTCTGGTATCACAGGATCTGTTATATTTGAAGACAGAAAGCGGGTCCGCTATCCCATTGGATGGTCAAAATGACAGTGCCTGTCCTCCCCAAATAAAGTGCTGGACATTGGGTCCAGTGTCTCATAAGTTCATAACTACCAGTCAAAGCTATGATAAAGTACGGAAAAGTCAGAGAAATAGAAAATGCTGGAAAACGAGTCCTAGATTGTGGCACATTTTTTTCCCCCCCTCCCTCCCATTGTTTCGTTTCTGCATTTGGTGGAGTTTTGAGTTGACCCTCAGTCAGAACTTGCTCCTATTGGAATTTTGCACAACATGGCAACATCATGCCAACATGCTGTTTTGGTTGGTTTTTCTGAAACTTCCCTTGTTCGGCAGTTGGAATTCCGGAAAATACTGCACAATGTGCAGAAGTCCCATCAATAGCAGAGGATTTGGCCTCCGGGTGTAGTTTGCAATCAATGCTAGTGCTAAGCAAAGGAGGTGCAAAGAACCAGCAAATGAGTACCAAAAAATTATTGAGATGCGAGAGCTCATCGAAAACCAATCATGAGTTAGCCAAGTTGAAAACAGAATGGCAAAGCTGAGAGCACACCGATCAAGGAAAACAATAAAACCTAAAGCCTGTTGACAGTGAAAGCCTCCTCGCGCCTCCAACAATCAATACAACAAAGAGTAATAGCCCTAGATATGATGTGTCCGCCTATGCTAAGCTCTTACTCAGCCAGCACACTCTAGCCTACTACCTCTCGCTTTCTCTCCACTCTCCTCTCGCGAGATGCCGCTGAAGAGTCTGATCACATGCATGCTCCCTGTTCACATCAGGTAAGTACCTGCCAGTCCCCACTGCCACTCACATTCCCTGACCAACTCCAACCAGTCACCATATTCCCCTTGCACAGCGCTGTGTCCAAGCTAGGGCAGACACTCACTGGCAGCCACCACAGTCCTGTCTGCCCTCCCGCACAGGCTCAGGCTGCTTGCGCACTCTCAGTACTCCCACATGATACTCCCTGCTGCCCAATGTGCTTTTTCCCTTGGCCTCCCTGCTTTCTTCTCTTCTGAGGCCGAGGTCTTTGTCTACCAGTAGGCTGTCCCTACTGCCTGGATCCCGGTCCACGTACCTGCCTGGTCCGGGTCCCAACTGAAGACCTACTGGGTATTTACCTGGGCGGTCTGCCTTGGGGTGAGAGCTCACCAATCCAAGAACACACTGAACAGTCAAACCTCTTGACAATGAAAGCCCTCTTCACACCTCCAAAAATCTATATAACTGCAGAGTAGTAGCCCCAGCTGTGGTATGTCCACCTATACTACTCTCCTACTCCACCTTCACACTCTCGCCTACCACCTCTCACTCTCTGTCCACTCTCCTCTTGCCAGATGCTGCTGAAGAGTCTTATCACATAGGTCTGTCAGTCCCCTTTGCTGCTCTCCTTCCCTGACCAACCCTAACCACTCGCCACCTTCCCCTAGCTCAGTGACGAGTCCAAGCTATGGCAGATGCTTGATGGCAGCCACCGCAATGCTGCCTTTCCTCTCGCACATACGCAGGCTGCTAGGGAACTCTCAGCACTGCCGCACGATACTCCCCGCTGCCCAATGTGTTTTTTCCCTTGGCCTCTTGCTTTTATCTCTTCTGAGGCCGCGGTCTGGGCCGACCAGTAGGCAGTCTGGCCTGGATCCCTTGCCCAGTCTTGATTGTGATTTTGGGTCTACCAGGTAATACCTGGGCGGCCTGCATTGGGCCCCAGTTCTCTCTCGGGCCGCGGCAACCTTCACTTATTAGGGCTGCAGAGGCCTAAAAGCCTTACATGCCCACCCCCTCAGGAGTCCAAAAGTCCTTGCTCTCCTTTGACCGCCCATCGTTGGAGGCAGCATGGACCAACGAGAAGGACTACCTCTGCCCCGTGGCTTAGCCACAGGTCACAGCATACATTCCACTATTTTGTCAATATCCACTTGACCGCCCATCATTGGAGGCAGGATGGATCAGTGAGAAGGAACTCGACGGTTCGTTGAAAAGGGCAAGAGTTTGGACGAATGAAAAACTGGGTAAGTGTGATGGTAAGGGGGGACATCAATCATATACGTAAGACCGTCAATATCATGTCCTACAATGTCTAAGGGAGTCCATGGTCCGTAGTATTGAGGCAATCACTTTGCATGATATGTCCTCTATGGCATAAACTCAGGTGACTTAACCCATGCCAAATCAGCAACGTGGAAAGTAAGCATCCATCTATGCAGATGTTCTGATTTCATGGCGGCACCAGCCGAAAGGAAAAAATGTAACGACCTGCAAAATCACAGACTGAGAACTCTGCTGATTTCTGAGTTTTGCCACTGGAATGTGACTTGCTGAGATTCCCTCTTGCTGCTGAGATTTCTAATTCTGTGTGTGTGCGTGCTTGCTGAGTTGCTTGTGTTTGTCTGACTGCATGATTGCTTGGGTGTGTGTTTGACCAACCAGGGTACTTACCTGTGGCCGTTCCTTTGTGTGGTGCAGCGGGGTGTAGCCGTAGACTAGGCCCACGCAGATGAAAAACACTAAAGTGGCGGGTAGGCTAGGCCCAAGTAGGTTGGAAAATACTTGAGTAGCGGGTAGGTAGGCAGAAGAAGACAAAAAGCTAGTACCTTTAGAGGCCGATAAAATTTTTTAAGTCCGGTGGGCTTAGGTCTAGGGGTACCGGTCTGGTAGTCTGAGTCTAGGGCCTGTAGCGAAGGATATCAGACCTGCAATGATGTTTCCCTCCGAAAGGAGGAAGGTACTGGTAGCTTGGGAGGCCAAGCGGCCTGGAAAGTCACCACCCAAGGAGGCAGCTGCTTGGTATATCGTCCAGAGGAGTGTAGTGCTCCTCATTCTGCCGTGCGCAAGGTTGGCGTCAGGCTGCTGGAGCGAGCGCTCGGCCAGTCCACCACTGGGGAGGAAGAAGGCGGCCTGGCCCCTCCACTCAGCTATGGTGGAGCGGACCAGGAAGGCAGGCTCTGGGGTGTAGGAGGAGGAGGAGGAAGAAGGTGAACAAGGAGGAGAGTGACAGGGGTGCTTACCTGGCTATGGTGGATGACATCTTCATCTTCTTGGTTGGCGCTGCCCTACAAGGGGTAGAGTTCATCGAGGAACTCTGGAGCAGAGATAGGCATGGTGGCCATAGTAGAGAGGGCACATCAGCTTTGAGTTGTCCCTCGAACATCGGAGCAGGGCTCCGCTAGTCCGCGATAGCCACCTAGTAGGAGAAGGTAGTAGGTGTAGGTCATGGCTACGGTGGACCTCATGAGTTGCTGGCAGAAAGAAGGAGATTCAAACATTGGTTCTGGTTCATTCTTTCATTGTTATTAGTATTATTTAATGAAGAGGTTGGGGGAGATAAGGAGGTTCAAGGTGATTGCCAGTTGAAGGGCATTTTACATTGGTCTTTGTTGGTGTACATCTTCTTCTTCTTCTTCCATTCTTTAGTCTTTTTCTTCCTTTGCCTATTTCTCCTTCCAAGTTCTTTCATTTCAGTTGCAATTGAATTGGACTTTGGATAGCCAGGATCATAACAATTGCTATCAGAGTGGTAGTTACTTGCTGGTGAGAGGAAGTCTTGGTGCCCCAACCCTAATCCGGGATAGTTAGGGCTACTTAATCTCGGATTAGGGTAGGTTAGTGAGGAAAGTGGGGTAGCAAGGTAAGTGGGAGCCAGCCCGCACCCAGTCTGGGTCATTTAGCATCGACATATAACCTGAATAAGTTGCTGGAGTGTATGTATGGGGTGGCAAGACACTTTTTTTTTCTTTTTTTTTTAAACAGAACCTTAAGGTTCTGGCTCCTTTTCCATTCTGGGGAGCATCAGTCCAGTTCCTATTCCCCCGGCAAGTCAAAAGAATTACAATGAGCACTCACGCACGCTCCTCCCCCTTATGGTAGGAAGGGAAGGACGGCATTGATTACTTCCGGGTGGAAGGATGTACCACCCCTCACCCCTGCCTAAGTTAGTCTGGTCTAATTTTGCTATTTGGTTTCTATTCCGGTTTCCTCTTTGCTCTGATACTTGTAGCTCGACTACTTGGACTCCCTCCAGTCAGTTCCTCTCAGTTCCTTGACTGTCAGATACTCCTTACTCGCTGGGCCTGCTGGTTCGGTCTTCTGCTGTAGTCTTTGCTAAAAAACCTTCAGCCTATCAGACTTTGTTGTAGAGATTCTTGCCCAAGTCTTAGACTCTAGTCGTCTTATTTACTAGTTCGCGCATGTCTTTTTGACTTTCCGTTTCTATAACCCTAATACTAATTTTCTAGGAGCTGTAGTACTCTTTACCCAGGCTGGTCCCTGGGCCGCCCGGCGACCCGGTGGTCGCCGGGGGGGGGCGCCGGGCCACCTGGCCGGTTGTTCTGCCCGGTTGGCCACCTGGCGACCCC